TTTTTAGCTAGCTTTGTGTTACTTTCGTCTTTTAGCTTGCTCTCTACCATTTTTAATTTTTACCTAACATCATAATTTTAGTTTGTTGCTACTTTTGGCTTTTAACTAGCATTTTCATATTTTTAATCTATTAGCTGTTGTTCTGCTTTATTTAGCTAGATTTATGTTGCTTATGGGCAGGCCTTAATTTATAAACTGATAGCTGCCGGAACATAAATAGTGGGCGGGTGGCAGGGTGGGGGTGTGGGCCGGTGGGTGGGGGGCAGAGGAGGGGTGTGTGTTGGGGGGAGCGGGGAAAGTGGAGGAAGCTGGTGGGTCCTCCTCCCCCTTAAATTTTTGGATAAAGTAGATGTTATTCCAACAAAGTCTATGCTCAATAATCCAGGTATAAAATCCAACATTTTTCAGTCAGGTCATCTGGACAGTTTTTTTTTTTTTGTGCTGAAATGTTTCACCTTCGATCCAGAAGGCTTCATCAGTCAAGGAAACACACAACAAAACTGACTCTTCCCCCAACAGCTTACTCCAAAGTGGAACAAACCAGTTCTGCTTGTGATAAGATGGTCTCTTTGGTACACCCCTCCTCCATTGCCGGCCCTCTTCCTTGTTGACAGTCTTGTCAAACTGGTTGAAAACAAAAAAGTCCATGCTCAATAATCCAGGTATAAAATCCTGGTTTAAAAACTGGTTTGTTCCACTTTGGAGTAAACTGTTGGGGAAAGAATCAGTTTTGTTGTGTGTTTCCTTGACTGATGAAGCCTTCTGGATCGAAGGCGAAACGTTTCAGCACAAAAAAAGAAACTGTCCAGATGACCTGACTGAAAAATGTTAGATGCTATTTCCTGCATTTTGGTGTAGTCTATTTGTTAAACATCTAGGTTTACCTACATTTGTAAACACTTGATTTTATAACTATTGCAGAGAGCTACAAGAGTTTGTGTATCAATAGAGCTGTTTCAATTCTGCCAAGTGTCCCACACACACACACACACACTTCAAGTTTCTGAGCCAAACTCTCCGCTGAATTCATTCCTGCACGCTGCTCCTGCTGTTCCAACCTCAATTACGACTGCCTTCTGCGTTGTCCAGCTAAGGACAATCCATCCATCCATTTATTTCATGAAAGTAAATTGTACCGACTTCTTGACATTTTGATCGCTGTTATTTTGAGAAATATAGTGCCATTGTTTTGATACGTGATTAATGTGAATAATACGCATCAAACATTTCCCTCATTTTTTTAATGTAGCTAAGCTTTTTTATTATGTCTGAAACGTATGCATGAGTTCACATCAGCAGTTGTGTGCGCTCAGAGCTGTCTGGAACGCTGCTGTGCATAAAGTATGGCAAGCCAAGTGGCCCATTAGTAGCCACTTTTACCCCATGTCTGACTATTCATGGGCCACTTGGCTGCCATACTCATGAAGACGCTTCATCTCCGCAGAACATGCCATCTGCATCTCTTTTTTTTTTTCTTTCTTTTTTTTGAGCTCAGTTTAAGTGTAGAAATATTGTGAAGTGTTTCAATGAACTTATCATCATCGCTCAATTATTATTATTTTTTTTTAAAGAAAGAGAAGAAAGAAGAATAAATAAATAAATAAATAAGAGAAATAGATAAAACGAGAGACCACCATGACAAAACAACATGCACAGCACAATGCCACCCACAATATCACCATGAAACATTCGACATGGCACAAGGAATCATCTAGCTTCCACCACTACCCAACCTAGCGTGCATCTGTCAAAGCACCTGAATCCAAACACCCGCGCAAGCACGCCCACCACCACCAGATTTATCCAAAAGAATGCCCAATAGTGGACGCGGGGGCCCACAGACACGCCCCCCCCCCCAGGACACAGTGGCAACATAGGGAGGACCGGAGCCACAGACACACAGCGGCCCACAGGCCCGGAGCCCCAGGAGTCTCCCAACAGGGATAATATTTGTAACCAATTTATGAAATAATTTCCAAAACCAAATTTATGTAAGGCTGCAACTAAAAATTTCCAGTTAACTCTATCGAAGGCTTTTTCTGCATCTAGAGAGAATATTGCAGTTTCAATATTTTTACTGTAAGAATAATCTATTAAATTAAATAATCTGCGTGAATTTGTGGATGAATGTCTCCCTTTTATAAAACCGGTTTGGTCTGGATGTATTATTAGAGGAGTTACCTTTTCTAATCTTTTTGAGAGGGCTTTACAAATTATTTTAAGATCAACGTTGATAAGAGATATGGGACGATATCTGGTAGGTAATACAGGGTCTTTGCCTGGTTTTAACAGGAGACTAATGTTGGCAGAATTTATATTTTTTGGAAGACTGTTACTTTTCTCAGTTTCTTGTAGCATTTTGTGAAATAGTGGAGCCAGGATATTCCAGAATTCTTTATAGAACTCTGCTGAGAATCCATCTGGACCTGGAGCCTTTTTATTGGACATGCTTTTGAGGGCTTCCTGGAGTTCCACTGGTGTCAGTGGTGAATCCAGCTCCATTGTTTGACTATCTGATAGTTTAGGAAGTGTTATTTTATCCAGGAATTCATTAATTTCATTATCTGATGAGTTTATCTGGGGAGAATACAAGTCTTTATAAAAATCTCTGAAAATGCTGTTAATTCTTTCAGGGTCGTAAACTGTATTCCCAGTCGAGTCTTTAACACCAACTATAGTTGTTTTTTCCTTATTTATTTTGAGCTGTTTAGCTAGAAAGCTACTTGACTTATTGCTCTGTTCAAAATTTTCGATTCTAAGTCGTTGTATTAAGAATTGAGTTTTTTTTGTTAATACATTCTTTTAATTCCAATTTTGCTTTACGCATTTTATCCAGCATTTCTTCATCTTGAGAGGCTTCTAACGATTTAATGGTTTCTTCTAGTTCCTGAATATGTTTATTTTCTTTTTTCTTCTTTTGTGATGAGAATGAAATTATTTTATCTCTCATTACAGCTTTACCTGCCTCCCATAGAAAAGATGCTGAAGTTCCAGGCACGTCATTATACTCCAGATAAGAAGCCCACTCTTCTGTAAAATATTTGATAAAATCTACATCTTCAAGCAGTGATGTATTAAATCTCCAGTTTATACTTTTATGGATTTCTTTTCTGTTTGCTAGATTTAAACCGACAGGAGCATGATCACTGACAGCTATAGGGTGAATCTCAGTGTCTGAGATGTCCGTCAACAACGAGCTGCTGACTAAAAAATAATCCAGACGAGAGTAAGAGTGATGGACAGAAGAGAAGAAAGTATACTCTCTACGACAAAAAAGGTTGAATCATGTCATCTGGACTTCGTTTTTTTGTTAAAAAGAAACGTTTCGCCCCTCATCCAAGAGGCTTCGTCAGTCTGAGGCCTAGCCATCTGGTATTAC